CTCAAAAGCATCAGCTTTGCTCTACAACCAAAGAACATGAACAATTACAAACCTTTCCCTTAACAGCACCCGGTATCACTTGAACTGTTAAGGTTTGAATTTCACCCTAGCACCTAAAATGGTTTGCATGCAATGCATGTTAAGGGAAATGTTCCAGCTCTGATGGTATATTGTAGATTTCTTCTAGTCTAGTAAAATTGTTGCAAATTCAACATATTTGGTACTTCATATTAAACCTTTCTCGTTCTCATTTTAGTTCCCCGTGCAAAATATATGCACAGTGCATGAACTGCATTATCTCAAGGAAACTTGGAAGTGGAAGTCAAAAGAATCTAAAGTACTAAACAAAAATGAAACATAGGAGACTAATCTTTGACAAGTCCGGATTCTGGCAAACACCAAGGAAGCAATATTCCAACCATCTCTAATCCTTGTTTGACACAAGAGACATAGACGTGGAGCATTCCAAGTCTTAATAAATTGGTAAAGTAATTCAGCATCACACAAGACAAACAAGGAGCAATTCATGGTGAAAGACAGCAAATTAGTTCACACAAAAAATCCATTTTATGTCTTCCAAAAGGGGAAAAGAAAAAAGATATTCAAAATGATGAAATTAAGGGAAAGGCAGAGTAAAAAGGTTTACAGTGAGTTTTCGGACAGTGATGACATTAATGTGGTACCCTTTTCTTGATTCAAGATCAGATAACAATCTTTTCAAGTCGGATTTTGTGAGCCTGCTAAGAACATTAGCATCATCAACCACATATGATTCTGTTGGTGGACCATCATTTAGTACATCAAATTCAGATGCAAATGCAGAGTGAGTAGGTAAGATTGGGCAGTAACTGAGTGCAAGAGAAATTGCTAGAGCTGCAAGACCTTGCTGGACATGAGAAAGCCAATTTGTAGGAGATGAAGAAGATTGTTTATCACTAACAGATAACTGAGTTGGTTGTTTCTTGAGGCAAGAGCAAATGGTACTGCTACTTTTACTGAGTAATAGGGAAGTTGGTTTGGATTGAAGGGATGAAATCTTGGGGTTGAAGAGCGGGCAGAATGAAGAAGGGGAGAGGATGGTTTCCATGGCAGGGGGAAACTAAAACAGCAACAGATCAGGATTGGTGGGATATGAAAGAGAAGAATTTGGACATTGGAAGTTGGAAACAGAAAGTGATTTTCCTTCTCTTGCTCAGATAGTTTTCTGATGAATTTTTGGGATTCATATTTTTGAGTGGCTTGAATTCTTGGCTGGATTTGAATCAGATAACGTTCTAATTTCTGAACCATGGAAAAAGGATAGGGGCCTTTTGGACTAATAACACACACTGTTTTGGCGGGTATACAACATACACTGTTTTGGCAGTTGGCTTGGAAGAATTCCTAAATCAAACATGTCTTGATGGCTAAAATACAAATGAAATACCTAAAATTGAGCAAGTGATTGTCTGAATTCTTTACAGTTGAACACTGAAAAATATTTATATAGTCATGACTTAAGGACTCAACATGCTCTTGCTGGACTAATAGGCATAGCAATGATATTACTTGGGGAAAAAATACTCTCAAGTTGCCAAAGTTTCTTTCAGCTACTATTACTAATTAACTTTAGGAGCTTTTCCACTATGATTTTAAATAAATTGTTTTAATTTAAAAAATCTCGAAATGTGGTTAAAGTGTTTTCGCAATTGGAAATAAAGACATGCACAGAATATTCGAACACAAAAATTGAGAGTGGTATAATTTATTTGACAAAAACAAAAAAAAAGAGAGGTATAATTGATTCACAAATAACAAATATTTAAAGTTGGAATTTGGTTTCAAATCATAACAAATATACCACCATATCCCAAAACAAGAAGGGGTTAAGTCTGAACTCTGGATGACAACAAAGCTGTAGAAACTCTAAAAAGCCTGTCAAATTTATTATCTTTTGCAAAACTCAAAAGAGTCTATTAAATTTGGTAACTTTTCATTGTATTATCTATGGAACATGTTATTGCCTTTTCTTCATCTTTGTGCTATCGCTATAAAATAAAACAACACAAGCAAAACAAATAAATGCTATTATAGTCTCAGAATCATTATGAGTTTGGAATCATATATAATGTAAAAGATTCAAATTGTCCAACAGTTTGAAATTCTAAAAGGCTTCGTGCGAAAAATTGAGGAATAAGAATAGTTGATTAACTTTAGATTAGGAATTTAATCAAATTGTTTGGTTATATTCAAATATCAATAGTCCAAAGGGCTAATTCTATTTTGCACCCTAAATTTATATCACTTTCCCATTTTTATACCCTAAAGTTTAGTTCTGAACACTTTACACCCCAAATTCCCAAAATTAGACACTTTGCACCTTGGGCTTTCAAATTTATCATCCTTAAATCCAAATAATAAAAACTTAGCAAAATTAAGTGCATAGAAGATATAACAAATCAATGATAATATGCCGAAAATGGTCAAAAGGTACCACGGTATCGTAGTTAAAAAAAAAGATACTTTGGCATTAACTTGCACCATTATTTATCTCGTTAATTTTACTAACAATATTAGTAATTAAAGCCATACATTGTCATTAATTTTTACAATCCTTTATCTAGTTAATTTTGCAAACGTAGTTATTGATTGGATTTAAATGGGACAAATTTGACAGTTAGGATGCAAAATGTTTAAAATTAAAATTAAAATTATAAAGTGAAAAAGTGATATAAGGTGGCGTTTGGTTCACACCTTGGAATTGGATTTGAGTTTGGAATCATTCATTCTGGATTTGGATTAAGTCAGTCATTCCAATACATCTGTTTGATTCAATACCAGGAATGTATATCATTACTATAGTTGATGTTTGGTTCGTTGGCTCTTTCGAAATGGGATATAAGAAATTTTCACTAATTAAATGTATTACTATAAATGTATTAGTAAATTTAGTATAACTAATTAATAATTTCTATTAGTAAACATATATAATTATTAGTATAATTGATAATATCAATTATATTACATATATTAATATATATTATATAATGCATATAACTAATAATATCCTTATTATAAGTTTGTAACTAATTAAATTAAATATTATATATAATTATAATTATAATTATATAATATATATAAATATTTATTATACTAATATATTAAATAATTATAATGTATATTATATATTAAATATAATAATTATTATATATTATTATATTTATAATAATAAATATAAATATATAATATATTATTATTATATACACATATAATATATTATAATTATATGCAATGCATTTGGTATTTCTATGCATACTTCTGTTTTTATTATTTCTTCTAATTCTAAAATTCGTTTTGCATAGTTGTTTAATTTAATTGTTCTTCTATTTTTAAATATGATTTTTCTTCTTTAAAATAATTGATTTGTTGTTTAACATGTTGAATAGTATTTATTGTTTTATAGATAGAAGATGATTGTAATAATAGTAATTCTTTTTGTTTTATTGGTGTTAGAAATTTAAAAGTTATAGTTTTTTCCATAATATTTGTGTGAACTCCTTCACTATTTACAGCAAAAGGATATATTTGAATAAAGAAGGGTGTTCCTAAAATTATATATATGTGAATATTTTTTACTATAATAAAATTATGTCTTATACAATAATTATTATTGCATATTGATCCCTTAGTAAATTTATATTTTACTTGTAATTTTTCTCCATTTGCAGCTCTTAATTTTTCATTTGTTCTTTCACAATACTTTGTTGGGATGAATCCTTCTTTTATACAACTCTGATCTGCTCCACTATCTAATAATGCTACAAATGTTTTCTTAAAATCTTCTACCATTACGATTACTAATGCATACCATTTTTGAAATGTTATTCCCTCAATTATATTTAAATATTATTTTTCATCTGATGGGTTTTCAGAAATAACTATTTCATTTGTTTTTGATGTAGAGGGTTGATCTATAGGTTGACGTTTTAGTAATGATATTCTTGCTTTGATTTTTAAGTAAACATGTATAATTATTAGTATAATTGATAATATCAATTATATTATATATACTAATTTGCATTATATAATATATATAACTAATAATATCATTATTATAAGTTTGTAACTAATTAAATTAAATATTATATATAATTGAATATAATTATACAAATATTATAATATAAATATATAATTATAATGTATATTATATATTAAATATAATTATTATACATTTATACATTATTATATTTATAATAATAAATATAATTATAATTATATAATGTATTATTATTATATACACATATAATATATTATAATTATGTGCACATATAATATACATTTATAAATATATTTATAAATAATATAAATATATTATTATACAATATTAACAAATTCATAATATATATTATAACAATATAATCATATTTAATTAAATAATTATAATATATAAAATATATTATATATGTGTATATAATAATTATATTTATATTTATTATTATAAATATATTATAATAAGTATACTAATATTATAATAAAATATATAATTATAATTAAATATTGTAATTATATAATATATAATTATATAGATATGTATATAATTATATATTAATTTTTTAACCGATGGCCGACGAGCCCCATTTCGAAATAGGAATCAGATTTGGATTTTTTTAAAACCCTCCAAGTTACTAGGGAATTGGGGAACTCTAAATTTTTAGATATGATTCCAAAATTTCAATTCTGATAGTAGTAATCCAAACAATAATTATGAAATTTATTCTAATTTTTCATTCCGAAACCTTCTTACCAAACTGACTTAGGTTTTGGAGTATAAAGTGGAATTTGTCCTTGTCCAAATATGTCTCCAAAACCGTCAAATTTACTTTGCGTGCAATCTCGCTATTTTCCCTCTTTATAATTTTCTCCACATCCTGAATTCCATTTTTTGAAATTACCACCAACCCCCTAAGTGCAAAAGATTCCCACAGATAAAATAAAATCCCCAAGAACTGTCCCACATTATGTATTCCCCACATCACCAGCCATGAATCCCAGTCCCCGTCTCCATTCCCATCGTCTCCACCATCTTTCATGGCCATGTCCACTTTCCTCCTCTGCCTCTCTCCGAAACCCCCTCAAAACCCCATTTCAAGAAAGCCCATTTCACCTCTCAAGCACCCCAGCATTTTTATCTCAAGGAGGCTTGGTATTATTTTCACTACCACTTCACTGAGCTCTGTCCTCTCCTTGGCCCTTCAATGCCCTCAAATCCCCCCATCATCTGCTGCTGAAGCATCATCAACTTCTTTTCTATCAGGAATTGCCAATACCAAATCTTGGTTTCAGTTCTATGGCGATGGATTTGCCATCCGGGTCCCACCTCAGTTTGAAGACATCTTGGAGCCTGAGGTTTGGAACCAATTCTTTTAAGCTTGTTCTTTTTTAAATATTTGTTTAGTAATTCATTGGTATTATTGGACTGATGTCACAGTTTGGTAAGCTGCATTTATGTAAAATTTTTTGGTATTCAGTGAAACTCTCCATTTTTAAAAAAAAGCTAGATTAGATCCATTAGGGAACTTTCTTCTCATTCTTTTTTTTTAAAGGTTCAAAATGATTTGTTGGAAAAATTAAAAAATAAATTCCGTATGCTCATACAATGATCTTATCCACTCTGTAGAGTTCACATATTACAGTATTCCAACTAGCAAAACTTACTTATGGGAAACTCATGAGATTGACTGTAAAGTTGTTAAGATCAGTAAAAGCCGTAACCTTCCTGAAGCAATTCATTCTAACTCTGAGTTTCTTCAAAATTACAATTATAATGAACAAAATCAAGCTAAAATGCGGACTCTATTCCAAGTTAAAACTGTAATTTGGATTAAATTTGCTGTGGAACATCTTGAAAGGACTTCCATTGCAGCTGAAGCAAATTTCAAAGTTTTCTTTAAGTTTACTGTTTGCTAGTAATGTTTTAGTTTTACCAGCAGATGAATTGTAATCTTGTTTAGTGGCTTTCTTTCTAAATCTTGCAGCTTCCTTTGAATATGTTTTGGTACCAAATACTCACTATTTGGTAAAAGTGCATACTAATCACCAAATGCAGTTATGATGCAGTAACACTATGATATCTCAATTAACCAGCTTCATACGTTTTGATAGTGGTCTTCTGCTAATATCTTAGATATCTCATTTTTGTTAATGTACAGGGTCTAATCTTTTCTGTGTTATAGGATTATAACGCTGGACTGTCTCTGTATGGAGATAAGGCAAAGCCAAAGACTTTTGCTGCGCGATTTGCATCTCCAGATGGGTAATTGTTCTGATGTTTGGTTTCATTTACAATTGCCTTGTCCTGCTTCTTTATTGTTTCACTTGTGAAAAATATCTTTTGAGAACCCCAGAATTTCCAGCAAAATACATAAACTGAAGTGAACACTATAGAATGTAATGACTCTTTCTTATGAACAATTAAGCATGTGATTGAGATTGCTCGTCAAAGATATGGCTCTCAGTTGCAATGGTAATGCAGCTGAGCAGGTTTTATGGGGTTAAGAAGTTAGGTGGAAAATAGTCCGTCTAATTTTGGTAGGTTGGTGTGGAGAGGCACTTAGTAGACATTAACATGCCTGATATTTTCAGGTCTCATTAGAGTGTTTTAGTGATTTTTGATGGGTTTTCAGTATGTGAAGTTGGCTCATTTGGTGACAATATGGTGGCACTTTCTTGCTATCAAGTTTTATGTCTTATCCTGGTTATTCAACTAAAGTAAAGATTTTCTAGAGATCTGATTAATGCAATGTTCTTGGTGTTAACTATGCTTGTGAAATCTAATTCCACTTCTTTCTTGCATAGAGGCCTGCAATAGTATCTGTTCTAGTTGATCAACTGCTTGTGGCAGGAAACATTTACTGATGCCTCTTTGTCCTAACCCTTTCTCGTTATTTGACCTTGTACCATTATAATATTGATTCGTCAAAGTAATTCTTCAAGAATGTTGCTTGCTAGGACTTTGAAATTGCTACACAGTAACTTTCAAGAGAACAAACGTAATATTGGTTCTCTCTTGCCTATTACCTTCCATCCTTCCTTTTAAGAGCAAGTGATGGAGTCCTTTCTCTTTTTGGTAAAATGAATTGCTCTGATATGGTATGCTGCTAATTTGGCTGGGTGACCACCCATTTGTTAGATACTACGGAATGAAAATGGTAATGGATATAAAAATTCCTCAATGTTAATGGTTGTTGGTCAAGCCTTTTTAGGTTGTTTGGTTTAATCTCCATGGTTATAGTTTATTTTCCCTCCCTCCCTTCATCAGTCTCATTCTTCCTTCCTTTATCTCTTTTCATAACAAGCTCCCTATTTTATTGCTACTGTCCAACTCCACCTCTAACAGCCAAATGCGTTGCCAGCTAAGGCACCTCCAGCCCTTCTGAAAATGAAATTGAGATCAAACTCAGATTAGTACCCTTGATGTGAAAATTCCTCAATGACAATGGTAATGGATATGAAAATTCCTCGATGTCAATGGGTGTTGGTCAAACCTTTTTAGGTTGTTTGGTTTAATCTCCATCGGTAATGGGTCACAGTTTTTTTTTCCTTCATCAATTTCATTCTTCCTTCCTTTATCTGTTTCCATAGCAAGCTTCCTCTTTCATTGCTACTGTCCAACTCCACCTCTAACAGACAAGTGTGCTGCCAGCTAAGGCACCTCCAGCCCTTCTCAAAATGAAATTGAGATCAAACTCAGATTAGTACCCTTGATGTGGAAGAGGTAAATCTGAATTAATATAACTCAAAGTAGGCCATAGAATATAAGACAAACTTATAAAATTTAGATTGACACCTACTGCACCAAAGTTGAAACAAATACCAGACTCATGAAATTTAGCCCGTTAACCAAAACAACCATGATCACTGCCACAAAATCTTCACTGCCATGTTGCCATGTTGTTATGCATTGTAATTAGGAGGTGCCAAAGAGAAGGGAAATCAATGAGAATTCAGGAGTTAAGAGCCCAAAAGAGAAGGGGATATTGCTGAGAATTTCAGGAGGGAAGAGGCCAAAAGAAGGGGAAATTGATGAGAGTTTCCAGGCGGTGAGGGGAAGGGGTGCATCACTGGAGAAAGAAACTTGGAAGAGATCCACTGTTGTGTTCTTTTTTCCTTTTTCTTTTTTGTTTTTGTTTGCACTTCAAATTCTTTTATGGGCTGAAAGTGCCTATGCCCAATTTGGTCTATAATGGCCATTGCCTAATTTTAGGTTTTTTGAAAGTGATAGATACATATCCATAGAGCTAAACTAAACATCATGTATGGGTGTCAATACCAGCTATACCCAGTGGGGAGTGTCAAAACCCGTGAACCAAATGGAAGGCAAGACTTTTTGAGTCCAGGAATCCCTATGCTTATTAGCTTTTAGCTTGTATATTTTTGTTTTGGCCCTTACGATAAAGGCTTAGTACTAAACTTTGACCACTCCTCCAACAGTCACTGCCACCTTCTTTTTCCAACAGGCATAAGGATTGTCATTTCAGCTTGTTCTTCTTGGTTGTTTCTAGGAGTCTGGTTATTGTACCATACTTGGTGACTTAAGAGGAGATAGAGAACCTTGTTTTCCTGACCTCAGTCCTTTTCTCTTGGACTGCCTTGTCTTTCTGGCTGCCTTTTGGATTGAAAATTTTTCACAAAGGCAATATCAATATCAAATTACTGACATATGGCTGTGGAAGAAGAGATTTAGAAAATGGTATTTTCCATTGGCTTTCGGCTGAGTGACTGATTTATATAGATACGTCTCCTTGCAAGAAAGGGCTTTGAATTCATGTCTTTATGTTGTCTGCCCCTCCATCATCCAGCGCCTAAAAGGAACCTAGTTAGTTGTTGCAGCCCTTCTAAAGTATTTTAAGTTGGATCAGAATCTGAATGTATTGAAGCTTGTATAGAAGAAATCAATGTGAAAATGTTCTTGGCATTCTCAAGTTATTACTTTGGGAAAAATGAACAGTTGAGACAACAGAATGTTTCTGAGTTGCTAATATTACAAAGTTTAACTTTTGCCTTCTTCAGGAATTTATGTTTGGTTTGCCATAAATTCCCCTGGTGATTGATCAGACAGGATTTTGAGTGAATTTTAAGGGCTTGAGTACATTCTGTAGCATCTCTATGTTTTCCATTATCACTTTACCCGCTTGATCATCTACCTTTTCATCTTCCTTCACCATTCCATGTAATGGTAATTTTTTAATTTTTTTTAAGTTACTGGAGTTTTAGACTTGAATTTGTGTTCATTAACAATCAATTTTTACACTTTTGGCTTGTGATCCAGGTCCGAAGTGTTAAGTGTTGTCATTCGCCCTTCTAATCAACTGAAGATCACATTCTTAGAGGTTGGTAAGTGGAATTATAGTGCTTACTCTGAATTAATTTCAGTAACACCAGAAACTGATTTACTTTTGTCCCTCTTATTGTTTTATTGTCGCATTTGAGGCATCTACTTTCTGGTAGTCGAGCTAGATAAGAAGATGTTCCAAAACAGAAAATTCTTTGGCTGCCTACGCATTGAGAAACTAAGCTAACATTGCCTTTTGTTTCCGTCAAGATAACTATCATGTGCTGTCATTTCTCTTTGCCAAATGATCATTTTCAAAGGAAAGGCTTTTGAGGGGTAGTCTATACCTCTATTTTATGTGAGCAGAGCAATTCATGCTTTCAAGTACCACTTTGTGTTTCTCAATAATTTAGAGGCGAGCTTTTGGAAGAAAGGAGAGCAAAGGGGATGGGGATAGCGAGAATCAAACTTTCATTTTAAGACAAAAAATTGAAGACTCTTAATAAGTGCTCTATGTTCAATTCTTGCAAAATGGAACCTTTTCTTTTAATATATATCCTATTGCATGTATTTGGTTATCATGTAGCAAAAATGGAAGAAAAGTTAGTTCATGCCCATCTGAAGCCTTTCTTTGGGATATTCAAGTATTTACTAATGTTGTTTGAGTAAACACGCGTCGCCATGCTGGGTCCAAATAGATGGTTGTTTTTTGGGATTTTGTATAAAACTTCACTATAGATCACGACATTGGTTTTAGGAATTTTTCCAAAACACCATATAATTGATGAATTTTTGAAAGCACTCCCTCCCCCACCCCCCCTCCACCAACCCACCACCCTCACTTCTCCTCCCCACCTCATCTTTCCCCCTATCCACCAACTTCGCCCCTTCTCCTTCCCCTCTTCTCCTCCACTTCTCCTCCTTCCCCATATCCACCACCCCCTCCCCACTTTGCCCCTTGTACCATCCAAGCCACCATTCCCACCCCACTTTCCCCCTCCACTCTCTCTTTCCCTCCTCACCCCTTCCTCTAAAAGAGGGGAAAAAAGGGGGTGGATGTGGCCGCTTTGGTGGTGGAGGGGAAAAGAACAGAAGGGAAGAGAAAAGTAGGAGGGAGGGGGTAGAAGAAGCGGTGGCAGAAAAGGAGGGAAAGAGTGGCGGAGAGGGGGTCAAGAGTGGTAGGGAGGAGGTGGGCTGGTGGACTATGTTACTTGGACTCTTCATTTGACTCCAAAGTACCCGTGTTGACATGACCTAACGCTGGTGCCAGTATGGGATACAAGTTTGACACGTCAAAAACTTTGACTTTTGTGAGACGTGATGTTGATGGGGAGGAGACATGGTTGAGAAAACTCATGGATATAGAAGACTTGTTACACTGGAATCCTTAATGAGCTATGATTTAGAATTCTCCAATCTTTATTGGGCTATAACTTGTATGTTTGGCTATACTCTATAAATCACATAGGCAAATTTCTTAAATTAATGCCGAAAAATAAATTTGTCCCTCATTTCTTCGATCCGTTTCTCAATCTAGTGCACCAAACTTAAATTTTTATTTCATTCTTTTGAAATAGTGTGCTCACATCTCATAAAATTATATTTGCATTTCAATCCCTAGATAGAGATTTAAATATAAATAACCGTGAGAGGGTGTGCGATACCTCTCATAAGTACAATCCATTAGAGGTACTTCACACTGCTCTATGTGGCACCTCACAATATTAAAAAAATTTCCATTAATGATTTTAAAAAATATTGCCCTATTATAGCCGTTGCAATATATATATATATTTAAAAATCATTTGAGGTGCCACACTGCACTGATGGAATTTTTTTTTATGTTGCAAGTGTGCAGCACCTCTAACAGATTGTAATTGTGAATGATGTGGCATATCTCACGGTCATTAAAAAAAATTTTCATTTCAATTCAAGGATTGAAATGCAAATACAATTTTGTGAGAGGTGCCACATACAATGTTTCAAAAAAATTATTTAAATAGATGTGGCATCACTAGATTGAGAAATGGATTGGAGATTTCCTCATTCAAGGGACAAATTTATTTTTTAGTATTAATTTAAGAAATTTGCCAAATCATATGTTTACTAGAAATTTTGCTGTACCCCTGTACTGGTGTTTTGAGTCCTTAGAAGTGTCCGCATATCCTAATTTTAGGGTTAATTCCTTTGAATATCGGTGAAAAAAAATTGCACATATGTTGTTCTGACAGGATTTTCTTCAACTATACCTGCCGTGTTTTGTAAATGTAGGGTTGGGAAAATATTTTTTTAAAAAAATAAAATCTAAAGGCTACCGGGCTGACTCAGCTCGACAGCCTAGGTAATTTTTTTTTGAAAAAATTGAATGACTCAGCCCGGCAGAAATGATGCCAAAGAAAAAAAGGATGAAATCTGTAGGGCATGTTAGGTGATTCTTTTCAAAAAGAAAGCTGGCCCTGCGTGTAGCAGCTGCCACTTGTGCCCGGAAGACTGTTCAGGGACTAGGGAGGCATGTAGTAACCACCACTTGTGCCCAGAAGACTGTTTATAGTTTTCTTAATAAGTGCTAACCATTTTTTAGCTGGCCCATTGTCTTCTGTACCCAAGACATTACTAGCGTTTAAAGGAACAATTTCTTGAAACCTAAATGTCCAAGGGATTAGAGAGGAGTACTCATGAAATTTGGTTACTTAATTTAGATGTCATTAGAGATAATCAAGGGCGATCTGTTTGTTGATCAAACTCACCCGAGAACGTAGATGTCAGTAGGAGGTGATGCACGTAGCCGGTATTCTAGATTCAAATTTTCCCAAGCTTGCCGTGCTTAGTCAGCTTGGCAGCCTTCAGGTGTTTTTTTAAAAAAAGAATTTTCCCAAGTTGGCAGGTAGAGTTGAAGAAAAGCACCCTATCAGAACAATATTTGTGCGATTTTTTCATTGATATTCAAAGGAATCAGCCTAATTTTAGATAGTTGACGAATTAGACACTTAAATACATACTTGAATTCAACACTCGTACCCAACTCCTAGTAACATAGGTGGTGGAAGTGGGAATGGTGGTAGAAGAAGGAATGGATGTGGGTTTTTTGGTCTTTTTGGGTGTTTTCATTGGTGATTTTTATAAAACTTGAGTGTTTTTACAAGTTACTGTAGATAGTGTTTAAATAAAACTTTTGCGCATCTAAAACAAGACTAAAACACGCCAAACCCCCCACCCCGACATATTTTAGCATACTGGAAGCTCACACCTTAAAATTTGTGCAATTTAGAAAAATAGATTTAGCAAGGGAACTAAAAAGAAAATGACGTAAAAAAAGGAGTGAAAATTATTGGATGTTGTTGTTATTAGGTAGCCATGTGATAGTAGCATGTGATTGAGCATATTTTTGGTACAATCAAAAGGTGTAACACCAAAGTTGCTCATGCCTTATGTTTATTGATATATAGGCAAAAGTAGTTTTTGAATGTTTTCTAGGTCTTTTCAAATTTATTCTAGAGGATTCATGAAAGTATATATGCCATGTTTTTTCTTATGTGGTGTAACCCTAGTTACTACCATTGATGAGTTTGGATTCAAGTTGAGCTTATATAGCTAATATTTGTACTGAGTGTCCTAATGATGCCCAAATGTATTAGGTTTCAATTAAATGAAAAGATTTGAGCATAGCGGATTTAGGCATTTGGTGGAGCGGGAGAGGAGGTGCTCTAGAGGGGAGTAAGTTCTTTCATCATTATGATTGATGTTATTGGAATGTTGAATCTCTTGAAACATGGACAAACAGTGGGCCTGTATTGGCTTTCATTGTAGGTAAATTCTTAGGTAGACCTTGGTCCATGGGCCTTGGGATTTGGTGTGTTTGCGGTTGCAAGTGCACAATGGGTGGCCTAAACCGGGTCAGCTCAACTCGGTCCGATTTGGGTCGTTCATTTCAAATTCCTTTTTTCTTCTTCATCAACGCAAAGAACATCTTCCTCATCTATCCCAGGTGTGTTCTTACCAAAGAACAAACATAGGGGTCCGTTTGTTTCGGGTGAAAATGTTTTTCAGGAAAATATTTTCCTAATTTCCCGTGTTTGGTTGCACAAAAGTTACTGAAAACATTTTCCTTCCTATGTAAAATATTTTCACTCATCTTATGAAAAACAACTTCCCTTCCAAACTTACTTAAGTTGTTTTCCGAAATGCATGCATCCCGCCTGTAGTATGTTCCAAACTTACTGAAAACATCTTGTAGTATGTTCTTTTTTTTTTTTTATTATAAACAGGAGGACTCGAACCCAAGACCTCTTCTTTACACTCCCTCCCCCGTACCACCCAACCCTCCCCCTAGTATATTCAAAATAAAAAAAAAACCTCATCCTGCTCATCCTATGCTAGTAATTAATTATGTATAATAGGGACATTCTTTTCTAGAGAAACTTTCAGCAGTGAAAGTGCAAGATATATGTCACAATAAGCATTGCATGTGATTGATATTTGACACTAAATGGCCAGTAATTTGTTTATTGTTTAAGGAGATATTTTTTATTCAAATATACAATTCTCCAAGATTTTTTAAAGTTAAACAATGAGATAAATTTTCTCATGGGAAGAAGTATGTAGTTATAATGTGTAGAAAGTAAAGATAGAGATAAAAGTGAAAATATTTCAAAAGTTAAACAAACACCAGAAAAATGAAGTAAGAAAATATTTTCAATAAGCTAACCAAACACCTGAAAATGATGAAAGGGAAATGATTTTCATGAAAAATTACTTCCACGGAAAATATTTTCCCAAGGAAAACATTTTACTTCTAACCAAACAGACCCTAGATGCAATTAGGAACATCCAATTCTATATTTCTCCCATTTACATACGAGTTGTTCAAGAAACCCACCAAGATGGATCTCCTCGTCTACATTGTCTGATTCAATTCACAGGTAAATTTCGCACTGAATCTGTAAGGTTCTTCGATTTCAAATTATCCAATTTAAATTCAATGTTTCATCCAAATGTTCAAGGCGCAAGGAATTCATCTGCAGTTAGGGATTACATATCAAAATACGGAGACTTTGTCGAATGGAAAAACTTTCGACCAGATGGCCGGAGCATATTTTCATCTGACAAAATGGGGGAGATATATGCCGCTGCGCTTGCCAAGGATGATAAGGGAAATGACCCTTGATGTCATCAAGAAGAGCGATTCTTAATCATTCATCATTCACTACAACAAATTATCTAGTAATCTTGACAGAATATTGCAGAAGTTACCAGAACCATACATGGCTCTCTTCCCTCAGGCCGAACGCATTCCTACGTTCTTGATAAATTTGGCCACTCAAAATGTAACTGGGCCTGCTAATAGGCCACACAGGCGCGTGTCCATAATAATCGAAGGCCAAAGTTGAACAGGTAAAACATATTGGGTTAGAAGTCTCAATCCTCAGACACACAATTACTATGCAGGCCATATTGATCTGACCCATCATTGTGACAATGCGTGGTATAACATCGTAGATGACGTAAATTCTCAGTTTCTCAAACACTGGAAAGAATTCTTAGGGGCACAACGAAATTGGTCATCCAATTGCAAATATACCAAACCAAGGAAAATAAAAAGGGGAATTCCAACTATTGTGTTCTGCAATTTTGGTCCCAATTCTTCGTATCATGACTACTTAAGTGTACCAAATCGCGTGAATCTCCTCAGCTGGACTAAACACCATGCAGCATTCTACTTTCTCGAATAACCTCTATTCGCACTCACAAATCAAGATCAGCTACCACCTGTTTAAGAAGAAGAAGAGGCGGACAACAACAGTTAAGTTCACGTGTGGTTGTATATTTTTTCAGTGGAATTGATGCAATAAGGGACACCACGTTCCAGACCAATCCCTGTCAATTCGGGCGAACTACAACCTCCGCAAGGGAATCCTGATCAGGAGCCGTACCCACATCTTGTCGAGGCTAATCAGGAGCCGTGCCTACATCTTGTCGAGGCGGAGCCTCTTGCGGAGGTTGTAGTTTGTCTGAATTGACACCGACCAAGTGGTGGGACTGGTCTGTGAGTGCGAATAGGGGCTGTTCGAGAAAGTAGAATGCTGCATTGTGCTTAGTCCAGTTGAGGAGATCCACGCGATTTGGTGCATTTAAGTAGTCATGATACGAAGAATTGAGACCAGGATTGCAGAGTACAATGGTTGGAATTTCCCTTTTTATTTTCCTTGGTTTGGCATATTTGCAATTGGATGACCAATCTCGTTGTGCCTCTAGGAATTCTTTCCAGTGTTTGGGAAACTGAGGGTTTACGTTATCTATGATGTTATACCACGCATTGTCACAGTGATGGGTCAGATCAATATGGCTTGCATAGTAATTGTGTGCCTGAAGATTGAAACTTCTAGCCCAACATGTTTTACCTGTTCGATTTGAGCATTCGATTATTATAGACATGCACCTGTGTGGTTTGTTAGCAGGCCCAATTACATTTTGAGTGGCCCAATTTATCAAGAACGTAGGAACGCGTTCGGCTTGAGGGAAGAGAGCCATGTATGGTTCTGGTGGCTTCTGGAATATTCTGTCGAGATTACTCGATAATTTGTCGTAGTGAATGATGAATGATCGAGAATCGCCCTTTTTGATGACATCAAGGGTCATTCCCTTGTCGTCCCTGACAAGCACAGTGGCATATACCTCCCTCGTTTCGTCAGATGAGAATCTGCTCCGGCCATCTGGTCCGAAGTTTCCCCATTCGACAAAGTCTCAGTATTTTGATATGTAATTCCTAACTGCGGATAAATTCCTTGCGCCTTGAACATTTGGATGGAACATTGAATTTGAATTGGGTGATTTGATATCGAAGAACCTAGCAGATTCAGTGCGAAATTTACCTGTGAATTGAATCAGACAATGTAGATGAGGAGATCCATTTTGGTGGGTTTCTTGAGCAACTCGTATGTAAATGGGAGAAATAGGAAACTGGATGTTCCTAATTGCATCTAATGCTTGTTCTTCAACAAATCCTTGACATCCCACTATAGATCGTGGTTGGCCTAGGAGTTTTCCTCCAGTTTAACTCAAAAGGAGTCAAAATCCCTTTTTATATGGGTTTAACATTATAAATGAAGCACTAGTGGTTATTTAGGTGGACTTGGCCATAATCTGCACCTTTTGACATCCCACTATAGACCGTGGTTGGCCTAGGAGTTTTCCTCCTGTTTAACCCAATAATCCTAACTCAAAAGGAGTCAAAATCCCTTTTTATATGGGTTTAACATCATAAATGAAGCGTTAGTGGTTATTTAGGTGGACTTGGCCATAATCTGCACCTTGTTTGAAGCATGTAAGTTACTGTAAAACTTTGTCAATGAAGAGCAAGAGTGATTACTAAGAAAGTAAGAATATTTGCTCAAGAAGTAATCTCTAAGTGATATAACTATTTCCCCTCTTATGTGATTTGGGAAATATATAGAAAGAGCAACCCACCTTTTCTTTTCTGCAGTTGGCATCCTTGTATTTGTCAAACTTTGGTTGGCTTCAATTCATTTGTGCTAGATGTGGCATAATTTGGTTATGGGCATGGCCAATTCATTGTTCCCTTGTTTCTGTTGAGTTTAAAATGGGTGCTATGGCACCAATAGCACTCAAGAAAAAAGAACTATGGCTTGATCTTAAATTGAGATTTGAGAATAGGAATAAAATAGTCCAGCCGAGTTACACAGTCTGTACCATATGTGACATTGACACCTAATTTTTATGTTCTGAGGGTATTCCATGTGCAATAAGAATTTAGCATGTTGTTCGTGTGCAACCAAGTCTGAACTTGGATTTTGGCCAATATATTCAAGTTTACAATTCTGGTGGTTTGAGCAATCATGATAACCTGTCCCCATACATAGTAAGGTTAGTTTTCTAATCCTCCTACAACACATAAAAGTTGTCCATTTCTAAAAGCATGAACAACCCCTTTTGGCACATCATACTTCTTTCTGGCACCCTTGATTTTTTCCTGCAAAGGGGAAACTCATATGGAGAATATGGGTAATATTTAAAGCATACAGACATCTGATTAACTTATATATTGAGTTTGCCCCACAAGGTGAACATACCCATACATGCCTTAGTTTGTATCATACTTCCATATGTATATGTATTATACACAACCTTTCCAGATTGAGGCATAAGACATAGGAGAAGCATAAGCAAGCATACCAAACCGAAAATTGTTCCATTTGTCAAACAAGGCACTATGTGACAAGATGCTAAAGTCGCCCCCCCCCCACCACCACCACCACCACCACCACCACCAAAAAATCTTTTGGAGTTCTGGAGCTTCTTTCACAATAAAAACTCATTTCAAATCTGACACATCCTTGGAGGAGAGAAGCTTGTCTTACAAACAGTAAACTTGAAAGCTGTCAAAAAGTGTCCTGCCATTTCTGTCACTTGATTGCATACTTCTTTAACATTGCTTTCATTTGCATGCATCAAAATGATGTGATATGTAGTGTAATGCATGCAATGTTGTAATAAATTATTCCATGGTTAGTATGAAGTAATTTGACAAAAGCTGCAGAATATTTTATCATACTTTAGCTTTCTGTTTTTGTAAAAGGAGATTTTCATTGCCACAAGAGAGTTCTTGAGCTCTTGTATGTGGGGCTTCGAGCTTGATCCAGTGCTTGCTAACTCCTACTCCCTGGAGGAGATAATCCCCTTTCACTAAAGCAAAAGCTCTCAGGATCTGCTACTTTTGTAGCATTATCGCAAGTAAAAGGTACTAAAGACTAAAAATGAGATAATTTAAGTATCTGAGCTCATCAGACATTGATTTGTCCAATTAGCTTCATCATGAAATGTTGACAATGATGTCAATCTTTTAGAAACCAATCTGAAAATGCTTCTCTTTCACCTTAAGCAAAAATGAGTATATGACTAGCAGGTGTTCAGTGTCAAATAAGTATATGATTTCTGAGTTCCTTTTTATAAAGCTGGAACTTGAAGCTGTATACGTATGAGTTCCTTTCTACTGCTTCAAAGACCCATACAAAGTTTTCAATTTCTAGCTGCTACCACTTGATGACTAAGGTGAATGACTGATCTAAAGAAAGTAATTGGAATGTCATGGGGAGGTGGTGAGAAGTTGGATAGCTTTTGCCTGCTTATTTGCAGCTGCAATTTGACAACATAATGGTAGCAAACACCCAAGGCTTATGCAGCTGGACTTCGACAGCATACTTGTAGGCAATAAAGCTTGTATCGCAGCTTCTGTTGGCTGTAGATGGGAAATTACTGGAATCAAGATTGAAGTAAGGTCCATCAATATTTGTGGTTATACTTTTGAGGTGTGGAGGAAGAGGAATTAAGGTGTTGGGTGTGAACTGCAAACGGAAAGAAGAAAAGTAATCATGAGGAGGAAAACAGAAGTTGCTTTCTTATAAATTAACTTTAAAGCTGATTTTTGACAAATCGATTTCTATTTTACAGAAATCAATCAAAACCAGCAATGGTTGCTTGACTTTGATACGAAAAGCAATATTGGTGTAAATAACTCATGTCTTTAGCTATTTCCGTTTTTCATTTTTTGTGCATATGCAAAAAACCTTTTTGGAAAGGGAACAGATTGTGCAGTCCTGTTACCAAATTTACAATTGGCTTCTTATAATTTTTTGAGCAGGCCAAAGATGTTACTGATTTAGGCTCCATAAAGGAGGCTGCTAAAATATTTGTTCCAGGTATTTTGGTATTAGTTGATTTACCTGCTTTTTACTTTCGAGCAAAGGCCTGAACATCATTCCATTCATCAAGATAATTCATGGTCTATCCCTCAGATCTTTCTTGCATTTTCAGAAGTGACTTGTCTGTTTTTTGGTGTTGATATTTCAATTCCGAACATGGCCTGGCAGGTGGAGCAACCCTTTATTCTGCCCGCACAATAAAAATAAAGGAGGATGAAGGATTTAGGTAAGAACAGGTTTCTTAAAGCATATCAGTACACATTGCTATCCTGTTTATGAATGCATTCTAAATACTATACGAGAAAAAAACATTAAGCTTTAAAAGGTGTAAATGGAAAATTTGGATTTTCGTCAACCATAGAAGTACCTGTTTTTCTTTCTTCCCTGCACTTTCAGACTAGAAAGCTTTCTTGACTTCAATATCTTTACAGGAAAACCATCTCTCATTACTGTTATTCCTGCAATTTAAGTATAACTGTGTCCTTATATCTTTCCATAATATTTGCATTTCAGGACTTACTACTTCTATGAGTTTGGTAGCGATGAGCAACATGTTGCACTTGTAGCTGCTGTAAATAGTGGAAAAGTATGTTTGCTTCGATTCTCTTAAATAGCTTTGATTCTTTTTGTCCTGAAAAATTAGAGTGCTCATTCTGCTGCTGCTTAGTGCACTTTTGTAATTTCATCTCTCACTATTGCTTGCAGATCACTGGATTCAACAATTTCCTGAATGAATTAAATTATCCTCTAATCTTGAATTTATGTTTCTCTTCTTAACTAACTTTTTTTACTTATTTGGTGTGCGTTTGTTTCATCAATATTCTTGTCTGCTTTAAATGTTTTAGGCCATTATTGCTGGAGCTACTGCACCACAGCACAAGTGGAATGATGATGGTGTGAAGCTTCGTTCTGCTGCTGTCTCGTTGACAGTCTTATAGCCTATAATCTGGTGCTGAGATTTCTTCATAAACCGGATTTCCTTTTGACTAGGACAAAGAAGATGCTACAGATAACAGCTGAAAGTAAATACCGACACTGTCATCAGTCATCTCAAGCCTTTTCAGTAATAGGCATTATGAATAATTTCTGCTGAGGATGCCTGTTATAGGCAAAAACTTTCTTCTTTGCCATAGCAGCATGTAGGAGTAGGGATATATACATGTGTTGTATGCATATGTCGAGAGATTTACTTAAGCTGGAAAGGGGCCTAAATTTTTTTGGTGGTTGTAGTTTCAAACAGCAAGCTGAGAATGATTGGTCCTTTCTTTTTTGGGTGCTGAGATTTTTGTTAGTAGGCTAGTTATTATATCTTGTCAGCTCCAAGACATGTAATCAACTTTTCATGACTTCAAATTTTCATCTTCATTGGTTGTTATGTTTGCTTCTTTTAGGAGTCAAGGGTGGATCTTTCTAAAATTTGTGCGGACATTGGTGAAGGAGACCAAACAAACCACTGTATTATTAGCAAAAAGCCTGCCATTTCATTAATTTCTTCTTCCCCAAAGGCTTGTTTATCTTAATATTTTTTTTGGAGTGGCTGTAAAATCATGTTTGAATCTTTGACGTGCATAAGAATCTGTCTAAGACTCAGGCATATTATTACGTTATAAATAAATATTTCATAGATATAAAACTCAATCATGCGATACTGTACATTTGTCCTCTTTAACTCAGCATTACTGCACACGACCTGAACTCTCTGATGTTAGATGAATCCTTAAAAGGTTTTTGCATCAGGCTGCTGCTTTTCTTGTTTTCTTCTCACTGTTATTACCAAGGTTTGAACCCATCACAGGTTTTGCACGTTGCCTTTAATTGGAGTTAGCTTATTGAAAAACAAAGGCGAGAGGGGGAGTGTGGAAGATAGATCCTTAATCATTACATTGATTTCTTTCTCATTTGGAGTTATCAAATTGCACAGGAAACTATACTATTCAGCTTAAGCTGACCGAGGAGAGAATTACATGCTTAATGCTCGTACAAAATATGAACTAGGTCTACCAGTAGACCATCTCACGACCAAGTAGGACTCGCCTGTGTGGGATCAAATTTGTTTGAGACGGCCTATTGGTAAACCTGGTCTATATAAGAAAAAAAAAATGGTATGAAATCATCGTGTTAGATGAAGTTGGAAACTCCACTATTTCCCCCTAATTTTCTTCGTATCCTACTTATTAGCTCATACACAAAGTTTGATGTCTTCATAAAAATTTAAGCATAGACTGTCACTTCCTTGTTGAATTGTGGAGCGTTTGTTGAACCGTGCCAGTTAGGTCCTTTGTTGCGTATCAATAGAAATTTCCAATTTCCCTGGCAAAAGGTGGTTTGGTTAGTCCAAAATTGCTAGTCTCAACTCCTTAAATCTTGTGGCATTTGAACTAATCTATCATTGTGAAAAATCTCTATTCTCATCATCACATGACAGTTCTAGCTGATGAAGCATTCGCATTAACATTATCTTGTCAAACATAACATTTTGATAAGCACTACATTTTTTCCACCCAAGACAAGCATAAATTTGAGTCTCGCTATCAAATTGTATTCCCAAGATTCAATCATCAGCTATCTTATGCTTATCTTCAAGACTGATTAAGAAGGACAAGCTTGATTCAGTGACAATTGAAACACAAGTCTTTGGTGTGGAGCGTGATAGCTGATAACCAAATTACCTTATCGTATTCAAATTCCCAATCCTACAGTGGAGTTCCTTTCCTAGCTGAAAAGTCAAGAAAGTTTGCAATTTCTTCTCCGAAATAAGACCTACTGAGTCAGTATCTAGTACAGATAGAGCCGTGGTCTTATTGTCAAGTACCGACTTTTTGATTTGTCTGTTTTCCCTTGTGGGGTAGTTCTGTTTCTATATTCCATTGAGTTTGTGGTTGTTAACATTTCCTTGCAAAAATCCATGGTAAGTGTTAATTCTTGATCATCAGGGGATAAATCATTTGCATGGATTTCATAGCTATCCCTTGCATTGTGCAGGGAAGTGTAAGTAACCACTTCGGTTTCTGCCTTTTTGGCAATATTTTTACCTGTGCCATCAAATTTGACACTCAGGAAAGGTAGATGGCTTGATGTTGCCTGCACCACTCTCAACAAATTAGGTTGGACTAAATGTAGAATATCAAGCTAAGCGTAGAAATTACATGGTTTGAATTTATCAAACACTATCATAATTTTTCTTTCCAAGATCATTGTAGACCATTTCAGACTAAATCAGATGCCCCTCTTGTCATAAGCAAGTGAAAATCATCAAAAAAATGTGTGAGAGCCAACTAACAGCCCTACCAACTTGTTATCACTTGCCTGAAAATGAAGCCCCATTAAATGCACTAATTGACAGATCCGAAGGAAAAATGTGATTCAGAAGCTGTAGAAAAATCTTACCAGTGACGGACAGTTCTTTTTTTTTTTTTTCCAACAATAAGACAATGCAACCTTCAACTACCAGTCTTCCCTCCTTCCAAACTCTTCTGAAATCAAGTTTCATCGTTCCTTTGCTTCAAAAAAAACAAAAAGTTTCATCGTACCTTTGCTTAATTTCCTGATAAGTGACCGTAGTTTTTCTGCACAAAAATTAATGATCACCAGTTCTTTTCGCATATAAGTAGTCAACAGTAGTTTAGATCATAGTAATAGCTAAGTTTAGTTGAATACTACGCTGTGAAGCCTCAGACAACTTCCATGTCCAGCATGGTTCAAACTTTATCTTCCATGGCCAACACCATACTTGACCAATCAACTGTTATAGCTGTTACTGTATTTGTGGCTCTCCTCTGTGCATGCATAGTAATCGGTCACCTGGTGGAAAAGAATCGATGGGCTAATGAATCAATAGCTGCCCTTCTGCTGGTTAGTAAAAGCCAGTCTAGTTTTATCTTTTTTAAGTTTTTTTAAGGTAAATTTCAATGGATTCCAATGTGATTCGAGTCTTCATTATTATAGTATATACGAACTTAGACCGAGTTTTCATGTATAGGGATTGGCTTCTGGAGCTGTGGTATTGCTCGTCAGTAAAGGCCAAAGTTCACGAGTGTTGGTTTTCAATGAGGATTTATTCTTCATATATCTGTTGCCCCCAATCATTTTCAATGCTGGGTAAGAGCCTTATCCATCCATCCTTTTGCTGTTTAAGATTAGGTTGTTTTGGTTGAAGTCTGGTTCAGCTTTTGAAATTGCAGCAGTAGAACCGTTCATGTTTTAAATATGAAGGACATAGTCTAATTCTTAGCCAGAAATATTTGAATTAAGCGGCCGCGATGACTCCTGTATCTAACTTTTCCAACTTTGACATGTTTGCAGTTTCCAGGTCAAGAAAAAACGATTTTTCAAAAATTTCTCGGTGATATTGTTGTTTGGGATATTCGGAACAGTTATATCTTTCTGCCTTATAACTCTGGGTAACATCTAGTCTCTATTGCTGTTTCTACTGTTTCTTGCTTTCCAAATTCAAGTAGTTTACCAAATTTACCAAGGTTAGTACCTACTAATCTAATAATTGTAACTGAAGAGCGCTATCAAAAGAAAATTTCACCATTCCATGAACTTCAATCCAAGTACAGAATTGATTTCTGGACCAAAACTCACACCAGTTCTTTTAAAGTACTTTGTGTTTCATAATATGCAATGCCAATCACTTGCTATCAAACAGAAGTTAAAAGAAAAATATAAAATAAATTGTTTTGCATGAAATTTCCTCTTTGCTGCCACTTCTAAAAACTATCTTCTTTTCTAGTAGCCTTGCTACAATGATTGAGTTGCTTTTCTTTCATGAATGAGCTCTTGATACAACAAAATAAAAAACATGGTCATCCTATGTGAAAGCTCAAAAAAGATTTTTTTTTTCGGGAATAATGCTAGTTAAATATTTTCCTTCTGCACATATTCTAAATCACAATAATGCTGCTTGAAACTGGCATAGATTCTAATAGTACCTCTTGTCCTTTGAAGTTGAAGTGCAGAAGAGCAAACACCTTTTGACTTTGTATCAAGACTTTAATTCAGCTTCATATTTAAAATGCAGATTTTACTTTCTAAATAGCAATTCAGGAATTGGATTTAATTCCTCAACAAATAGAAATATACTAACTTTATTTGTTCGTGATAATTTGCAGGTGCCTTTCTATTGTTTAAAAAGATTGGTATAACATCCTTGACTATGAAAGATTGTCTAGGTAAAAAAAACAGACAAATAAAGATTTTATCAAAGGCCATCTATATTCAGGTATTCACTAACCAGGCATTTTATGCTGCAGCTATTGGTGCAATATTGTCGGCAACAGATTCAGTATGTACATTGCAGGTACATTTACATACTTTCAGCTATTGATCATAAACCTGTCATGTTAGAAGATGTTGCATTTTCGACTAATTCTCGCCACACCTTGCACAAGATCCTCAGTCAAGAGCAAACACCCTTCCTTTACAGTGCTGTCTTTGGTGAGGGGGTGGTGAATGATGCAACCTCCATTGTACTTTTCAATGCAGTCCAGTCAATTGACTTCAGTAATATCGATGGCTTGACAGCATTAAAGTTGTTGGGAAACTTCTTATACCTCTTCTTCACGAGTACTATTCTGGGTATTGCTGTAAGTATACCCTCAGAAAACATAAATTCGAGCGATATGTAACTCATGATTGTGATGATACATTAACTGATCTACTATGTATAAGCTAGTTTATATATTATCTTCCCGAGAAACAAAAGATCGTGTTAAGTTAGCAAATTGATAACTTGTTCTTTTACAATAAATTACTATAGTAGTAATTGGAAAAGCAATAACTGTGCCATATTCTCATCTTTAAGGAAGCAAAATAAGATTCCCTTAAAAGAATTTTTTTTTTTAAAATGAAACATGACTGGAATCTCCTACAAACTTCTTGATCTTTCATCTTCTCTATTTGATAGTTTAACTTGGTGTCTGTGCATCTATACTAGGTGGGACTCTTGAGTGCTTTTGGGATAAAGACACTGTACTTTGGAAGGTAATGTTTTGTTGGTACTATGCCTTGTTCATAAATATCTTCTTTTGGAGCTTGGGAAGAATATCAATTACAAACATGTTAGACAAGAATTCCTTCTGTTTCTGAGGCATGAAATAGTTTTTGGACAATTTACTTCTGTTGATATTTTAGTGTGAAAATAAGTAGACTGGTTCATAGCTTACTGGATCTAGAAGTACATTACCACAAAACTATGTCAGCAACGTTGAATATGACTATGACAGCACAATGTATAAACTACTCGAGAAAACAAAAGATTCAGGTACCAATTTGTGTTTTTCTAGAATCAAGATGTACTTGTGGGAAGGTAAATAAAAGGGCGACAATACAATATCAAATCAACATTTTACTGCATTCCTGTCATGACACTCATCTTTATAAGACTGTTTCATATTGATAGGCATTCAACGGATAGAGAAGTTGCAATCATGATGCTCTTGGCATATCTATCATATATGGTGGCTGAGGTACCAATATATACTGGT